CACACACACACACACACACACACACACACACTGTCTAAATGACGGTTCCACTTTATAACTATGTTTTCCGCTCTGTTTTTCTCCCTCTCTCCTACACAGCAATATCCTTTCTTTTCACTCACCCTCGGCCTTAATTCACTTTTCCCAACACAGCTCTCCTTCGCTTGTGTTTTCATTCTTAAATCCTCACCAGCAGTTTCCTTTGCCCTCACGTCTAATTCCCTCTCTTTAATTTCCCTTGCTCCCCTCTTCATTTCTCCTCCTTCTCCCGTCTCTCTTCATCTCTCCGGTCTCTCTGGGACGCCCCTACACCTCGCAGCTCATCAGTGCTTCTTTGAGACCACGAAGTTTTACACTTCTCGTTGCTCTCTGTCTCTCTAACTTCGCCTCTCCTGTTGTTACCTCTCTGCATTTCACTCTCGTATCCCTCCATCACTCCCTGTATGACACCAGAGGCAGCTTGGCACGCTGCACCGCTGCACTTCAGGGGCTGCTAATGATGTTTTTTGGCAGACATGCCACTGTTGTGTTGCTTTCTTCCCTTCTGTGTTGTTCTCTACCTCCCTGACATCTACTTTCATTTAAAACACTATTTCACACAAAACCGTCCTGACTCAGGAGTCGTCTTAACCTTTAACTGGTTAAATATCACTGGCTTTATAGTCCTACCCCAAGATTATATATATTTAAAATGGCTAAAATATTCCACGTGTCGGGACTTGGATCAATGGATATGCTAATGTGTCTCCGCCTCTGCAGCCCCCCACCCTCACAGCGCCACCTGCAGTTGAGGAGCCTTTTCCATCATATAAAAGTCACATGTTTAAACTCTTGATTTTCACCAAATTATATTTGATTATAAATTTTATAATTATATTTCCAGCTCAGTTATAAAGTACAGTAAGTGTTAACTAAAAGATTATTGAGAATTAAAAAGAATCGAGCCACACCAGATTCATTGTCATTTAATATTTAAACCCAGGAATTGGCAGGTGTAACCACAGATTGTATTAACGGAGGACCCGTCTCCACCTCCTCCCATTGTATGAAAATAAAGTAAAGATATCCTGGATATACAAGCTGCCATCTGAAAAATCCCCGACAGTTAATCATAATTAACCAATGAAAACTATTGATTGAGTGTTTGAGATCCTAATTTGGACAGAAACACATTCTTTTAAGTATTTATTTAATTTAATACTTGATTCTTTCCTCTCCTCAGGCAGAAATCCATAACAACACGTTCATTTTGATTGAAGAGCATATACTTCATCATGCTACTTTCTTACAGACACTGGTTGATTGGACTTGGTACTTAAAGCAAATCAAAGAAATGTGGAGAAAAAAGACGAAGCAGAAACGGGATTTCACTCTTTCAGTTGGTCATGTCTCAGCCTCCTTCTCCGTCAATCAGGAAACAACCACTTATTGTTATTCCCAGAAGCTTGAACTCCCCCTTACTTTTATATTATATTGCCCGATAATCAAACATCGGTTTGAATTGAAACACCCAAACCGCTTTCAGATGCAACCCTGAGTTTTTCTGTATGTGTGAAACCAAATGTCCAAATCAGTTGGACCAATTCTCCGGTGCAGAGTCCTCGACTGTCAGATTTAGTAAATGTGTCAGCCAGTTTAAACTGAGGAGGAATATTAGAAATGGGGCACATTAAACACAGGCTTTTCTGGATTTCTCTTAATCTTCTTTCACCATTTGTGGGAGATTTTTTCAATGTATCCTCTTTCCTCCTTATTTACCCACTTTATTAGTCTGTTTCTTAATCTGTCTCATCCCTCACTCGCCTTGTTTGAAACTGCAAGCTCATACCCTCCTCTCTCCACAAGGAGGCACCGCATGGTGCCACCTCCACTTTACAGACAGAGGCCAGGACAAGGACTTTCTCCTTTGTTTCCAGACATCTTTGCATCGATCGTCTGTCGGTGTCTGTGTCGGTAAAGTGACCTTGAATGTGAATTGCAGTTTTCGTCTATTGATTGAGATTATGTGTCTGAAGAATTGTTATGAAGGTTATTGGGAAATCTTTGGTCTCAGTTGTCATATAAAGAATAATGAAGTAAGAATTTGGCTGATTATTATTGGAAACATGATTTAAAGGCAGATGACGGATTTATGTGGACGAGACATTTTGTTTAAGATGATAAGTTTCTCCCTTTGTTTAAAACCAGCATTCACATCATTCTGGATCAATGATTGCAACCCTCATTTCCCGGAGATTTGTGCCTCGAGTTAAAATCCTAAATCCAAAACATCCCTCCTTCTATCATTTCATCACTCCCCTTTTCCTATCTTCCATGTTTCCACTTTCTCAGCTTTATCCAATGTTTGATCTGCCTTGTTCCCTCCCCACCCATTCCTCGTCTCTCCTCTCAGTTCTTTCTCCATCTTTCTCTCTTCGCTCCCCTCTCTCTGTGTTTATCACCTCACTGTTGCTCTGTGACCTAATGACTTGGCAGCTTTTGGCCTGTGTTTGCAGTTTTCTGTCATTTCAGAGCGGGACTGAGGGTACAGCTCTGGAACAGGACTCTAAACCAGCCGCTGAAGGGCATCACACAATACTGGAACCGCACAAACACACACAAACACATCTCAAAGGTGACTAACAAACCCAAATGAATATACAGACATGGGAACACACCCATGTAGACAAACACCAACACCTGTCCAACAGCAGGATTCTTTGCTTAAGGCCTTCACTGTCTATACTGTTTTTTACTGTTATCCAATTACAAGAAGGATCTGTCCAAATGACATTCATTTAAAAAAAACACTACAATTGCTCCAACAAGCCTGACGGGCCAGTAGGTGGCGATGTGGTCAACATCAACAATCCCTCAAATACCAGAGAAGAACATCGTGAGCCGGAGGAAACTTCAAAACCAAGACCGTGGCACAAATGTTCAGGTGAGAGCGACCCCCTGTCAATGCTGGTAATGTGGTGCAGTGATGCTAAATGTAGCTGTAATAAGACTCAACACTTCTAACCAATGTAGTGAATCTGGATCACAGCGGACGTTGTGGTTGTTTCAGCTGTGATGAGAATCTGTGAATTCTGTAAATCAGAGTTTTTGAAAACCTGCACTTTTAAAGGCGTTTGTAAAAGTCTTTGTTTTAGCGACTTAGAACATTGTTGGAGTGTTTTCTTTTGCAAAATATCCGCATCAGTGTGGACTTGGCATAAGTGCTTGCCATCCCTCACACTCTCTCTCTCTCTTGGAGGATGGAGTCATTTCAGTTTCTTAGTCATTGCTGAGTTGAGCCAACAAAGGGAGCAGCCAACCCTGCAATGTTCCACTTCCTCTCTGACCCCCTGACATGTGACTGGCACAGGGATTCATGAGGGGCATGTAGTTCTTGTAAGAGGGGATTGGTTGTCTCAGCGATGAAGGAAGATGAGGAGTATGGAGAGAGATGTGTGATTGTGATCCGTTACTTCCCCTGCACGGGCAAGATGAACGCAACTGGCTGTTGCCTGGCTGGTGCTTGCACTGCGTCAGAGGATATTGGAGTTGTATACAACTTTCCCCTGTAGTGTAGCTGGGCTGCACTGAACAGCCAGGTCTAATTCCCAATAAATAGCCGCTGTTGCTGTCTCAGCTTTTTGGCTCCCGGTGCGGGACTGGCCCCAGAGGCTGGCCAATTCACATGTGGAGTCTTGTTTGTTTAGTCCAAAGTGGTTTCAAGGAGGATTATGTGCCGTGACTTATCCAGAGGCAAACAAACAGGATAGAATGAAGTGATTAGTGAGCTTGAGAGGTGCTGGTAAACAGATTCCGTTATCTTTGGACAGAGCCATGCTAGTACTTTCCTTTGTTTCTAGTCCTAATGCTAAGCTATAAGATAAACTATGCTAAGCTACCTGGCGGCTGGCTCTCTTCCCATGTAACTCTCAGCTAGAAGACAAACAAGAGTGTTTCCTTAAATACATTTATTATTGACTTGCCATTTTTTCCCCAATCTATCGTCTATGTCACAAGATTCAACATTGAGGTAAAAATGATTCCCGAGGTGCATTTCTGTCAGAAACCACCAAGTTTAAACCCTGTGGTGTGCAGCCAACAGTGAACCAGAGGCAAAAATCATGATGTTGAGAAAACACAATCTGCAGCTCAGAATAAGCTCATAACAATTCTGGATGAATTGGCGTCTCTGGTGCCATGTTTAATTTTCAAAATGCTTTATTGTTGAATTTGTGTTCGCTCCAGCTCTGATTAGAGCCTCTGACTGGCTCCTTCTCTATGGCAACAACGACTGAGGCTCATGGGAGCGGATGATGAACAAAACATAATTTCTCGGAAAAACATGCAACAATCAAATCCGGTGTAACATTAATCTGTGGTGAAATAATTTAAATACGGAAAAACACTTCACAACTTTATCAGCCGCAGATATTAGTAGGTAAAGTTGTATCATTACTTACCACCCACCAGTAGTAGACATCAGAGGGCAGCTGGATGTTGTCTCTGGTCCAAACAGGTGAGATATCCGGATCGTAGTTCTCATCGAACCAATCAGAAACGCCAGGGTCTCCGACACAGCGTGGGCAGGCACACGTTTTCTGCTGCGGGGCGTCAGGTGCTGACAGGCGGTGTGCGCCCACATAGCTGGGCACTAGCTTCACCCGCCTCGACTCCTCCCACCCGGGCGGCTCCAGGTAGTTGAAGCTGACGCCCCCACGGAGTGAGACGGAGAAGAAGAGCGAGGTGAAGAAGACGAGGGCCAGCGAGCCGAGGAGAACGCAGATTCTGCGGGAACACCTCACCCTGCCTCCTTTCTCCGCTCCGCCTCCTCCTGCGGTGCTACCTCCACCTCCTGCTGCCCCGGCCACCCCTCCGCTCAGCCAGGGCCTGAGCTCGGAGAGTCTGGGCGCTCCCCGGGATGGACCCCCGCTCCAGAACCCCCAGCCCCAGCGCCTGTCCCGGTGCAGAGTGGAGGACGGGATGCGGCCCCCCCATGGCCATGCCCCCACCCCTGAGCCTGCCACTGTCCCCAGCCCACTACCTCCTCTGCCTCTTTGCAACCACCACCAGTGGCTGGTCACCCTGGTTGGGACGACCTCCTGACTGTGACTCTGAACCACAGGATCACCCACGATATCAGACGAGTGAGACACACTCACACTGACGGAAGACAATGTGTCAGAGTCGATTTGTCTCACAGTCAAGCTGTGTACTCAGCGATGCTCCGACGCCTTCTCACCGTCTCCTGCTGGAGTCTCTCTCTCTCTCCCTCTCCTCCACAGCTATGTGCTCGTCTCACACACACACACAAGAGTCGCAGCCGACTCACATTCAGACTGCTTCGGAATCCCTTTGCTTACAGTGTGAGGTGATCTCTCCTTCGCCTTTGGGCTCAGACTCTTCACCTTCCTATCATTTGTTCATCACTTTTTAACTTTCCCTTCTCTGGCTTTCACTTTCCTTATGTCCACCTGTCTCTTTCTTTTTCAGTGACAGCAGTGTCCATCTTCAGTGAAATCCCGTGGACGAACTGCAGCCTCTCGCTTCATCTGCCAATCCGTGTGAGTGGTAAGTGTGGCTCTCCGCGCTCTCCCTCTTTTCTGTCTCTCTCGTTGCACTGAGGCGACGTAACCACAGAAAGCTGGCAGACTAGTTGAGAACAGCGGAAAGAGGGAGGGCAGAAGGGAGGAGGAGAGGGAGGAGGAGCAGTGAAAGAGAGGTTTGGCCTGAAGGGTGTTCCATCACATCTCTAGCCATCCCCAAAAACAATTTCTCTCTTCCCTTTTTGCTCTCTGGTTCTCTGCTTGGTTCCTCTGTTATCTGCTGTTTTTGCAGTATTCTGGATTGCGCTCCTCTCTCTCTCATGAGGTTCCCTTCACCAAGTCTTCCTCCGTCTGAAGGTCTCTCCTTTCCCCCTTTTACTGTGTGTTTCCTGCCTGTTTCTCTGTGTGTGTCGAGTTTAAAGCAGCCTTGTGTTGCCGTTCCTCTCCACGCTCTCTTCAAACGCAGAGTTTTTAAAAGTCGGGATAAAAACTTTCAGCTCCTTGAGGTGAATGATGAAATCTTAATGAAAAAGGGCTTCGTGACGCTCATTCAATGGAAGAACAGCCGTTCCCACTATCATCTCCTTGCATTTGAGGGGATCTGCACCAATCAGAAAACATCCAACAACTAAGTCCTTTCACTGTTCAGATCCGTCCCCATTGAGACGTAAAAAGAACTTCTGGAGGAGCAATCAAAGCATCACAAAGCGGATTGATCCACGTCCTTCTGATGGAAAGATTTTTGCGGAAATGGTTCATCTGGGGTAGAGGCTGCGGGGAAAGTGGTGGATGGAGTGATGTGCAGAGGGTGTGGTGGGGAAAAACAGACAAAACCAATCAGCCCCAAATCTCATCTTCTCTCCAGCTGGCTTTGAGAGGACGAGGGTGGGGGGGGGGGTGGGCAGCATCTGTCCTGCTGCCCAGTGTGTGTGTGGGTGTGTGTTTTGATGTAATGTATGAAGTTAAGGGTTGCTCACCGTCTGCCAGTTGCACTAATCTAATTGTGTTCTACAGCTGTGCTAGTGTGTGTGTGCGAGTGTGTGTGTGTGTGTGTGTGTGTGTGTGTGAACAACCTATTGGCTGGCAGCACAGGTTTCTGGTGAGCTGGAGGTGACTGCTGCTAATCTGCTGAACTGTAATCCTACGACAGAACCCCTGCAGTGCCCACTTTCTGCCAGCTGCCTGCCATTCATCTCATGCCCTACAAACACCTGCTTAACTCACCTGCACTCTCTTTTTCTACTTGGATAACTTCTTAATGTGTTTCTCCAGCCCCTGAAGCACAAACCGCTGCTCCCATTAAAGCTATGAAATGTATTATATCCTTATCAAATGTCCACGTGTGTCTTTTTGTGTCCGTCAGGGATTTCCTCTTCTCTCCGTCTGGCTTCCTGTTCTGTAGAAAACCTGTAGACAAAGAGAGATATGAGAATTATTTACTGAATTCAGCCTCATAGACCAGTTAGACGAGTTTAATATGCTTCTCTTTTTCCATGTTGAACCTGTTTTCACTTCCCTCAGTCTAACCCAGTTCACCAACAGGTTTAATTTCTGGCGGCAAATTATAAAATTTTCAAAAATGCACATTAGGTACAGTCAAATTGTATTCATTAAATTTCTTGAGAAAAACTTTTTTACTACATTTCTTCCATATTTTTCTTGACTTGTCTGCTGCTGTAACAAGAACATTTCCCCAGTGTGGGACCTATAAAGTTTTATCTTCTCTCATTGGATGAACTCATACAGTGAAATTTTGTTATCAAACGTCTAGAGAGAGATTTTATGAGAATTTATCAGTTGCTTTCAATTCCTTTTTGTTCGCAGTCACATCACTGACTGAATGTAATGAAACACACACACAGGAGATGATAGTTTGAGGACTTTACCACTTTATGATAATAATTTATAATTGCCTGGTTTTGTTGCTGTTTTGTTGCTCTCATGCTCAGTGGGTTGTAGGAGCCAGGTATCTTCAGATAACCACACTGACATAACTTTGACAGTAGATCAATCAATAAAAAATATTACCTAAATTGCTACAGGGCCAAGTGCAATATGCATATTTCAGGAGCTGCAATAGTTTTTGATGCAACATCTGTCACAAAAAGACTTGAATCTATAGAGAGGCACCATCCTAAAAGCCTCATTTGCAAAAATGTGAGGTGCAACGGGTGAACTGCCTGAATCATCTAATGAACAAGAGAGATGTTGGATGGTGCAGGAAACCCTCGTCTTTATTGTCCTTTTTACATTTGATTCAATCACAGTTCTCGTTTTCAGGGGTTGCTCATTTCTTTTATTTTTAGTCTTGTGGGTTCATCATGAAAGAAAATAGGTTGGCAACAAATACATTTTGTCCTAGTTTTCATTGACACGATTAACCCTTTTCAACACAAACCTTCTCTGGTCCTGTTTTTATTTGTCTGCAGCAACCTGTTTCGTTTTGCTCTTCCACCTGCATCAGTTCTTTTTACACATTTCCCATCCTCTTGCTCAGTTTGTCTTTCAGACTGTCCATTACGAGGAACAGGGCGGGCATGGAACAAACTTCTGCTCTGCCCTGTTGTGTGTCTTTTGATTAAATTTTAAAATGTCACTATCCTGAATTGGAAATGCTGAAGCAGACTAACAGGATACAGATTGAGCGAGTCGGGCAGCATACTAAAAAGAGAAAGGAACAGACCTCTCTTGCAAACTCCTCTCAGATCTGTTGTTTCTATTTTCTCTGTAACAGCTGATCATCATCTTATTGAGACATTTACAAAGCCCACTACAGAATGCTGTCAAGTTTAATTTCTGTGTAATTTAATGAGGCTGTATAAAAATCTTCCTGCTTATACACCAGGCAGTTCTGTCATGTTTTATACATGCATGGATACAAAGTACTGGGAAGGTTTCTGCTGCTATTGGTTGGAGGAAAAAGAATTCTGGAACTACGAGAGAATTTGGAAGTAGATGTTTACACTTTTTTCTTACATTTAATAAACTAAGAAATTAGTTAGTTTAATCACCAAAATTGTTGATACTGAAATAGTATTAAATGCGGCCCTACCATTGTTTCACTGTCACCCCCTATCTTCATTTTAACAATGCAAAATCTGCCACAAACAAGGTCCATGAACACACCATCATTTAGTTTTATTCAGGAAAGTCTTCTTGTTTTTTTTTCTCACGACTAAGAGGATGAAATATTAATTACATTGTGCAGAAAGCCTGCTTCTGTTTCTTGCTGTGAACCTTCCGACCCGTCCAGAAATGACTGATTCCATTTCTCTATTTCTGATAAATTGCCATGGCAGCCAGCAAGTGATGCGGGGTTGTTACGGCAACACAAACCACATAGTCCCCAACCTTGACCTATCTAGTCAATGCTCGAGAACTGGGACAGACTACGTGTCTTTCTTTTAATGTTCTGTTTCTATATCTGCTGCTTATATGAAAACTTCCATGACAACACACGGCTCCCACACATTTACAGTTCCAAACGCAGCCCTACCCTTCCTGGTGGTTTCTCACAACTTAACCGATGTCAGTGGATGTTAGTGAAAGTGCAGTGACAAGTGCACACAGACCCCGACTACTGCATTCAGAGCCCGATAATATGCTGCAAATGTACAATGTGAACTTAAGCTGGTTGTTTTTTTACACCAGTTACTTAAAATAGATGATGCATAATGGCTTGTTAACATTCCTTCCATCTGTTATCAAAGCCAATGCATACAATTAATTTCACCGCTGCCCTGTTGGTTAAATAAGAAATCCTCCCAAAGCAACTGAGATGAATTCTTTATTGTTTTCATTCTTCATTATTGCCGTTAATGGAATCGACTGTTAGTACTTTCCACTGTATTTCCGTCATTAGTCCATAATGTCTCTCACAGCCGTCAATGAGATCTTCTGTTAAATGATCCATCTCAAGAGGTTTTCACTTAACAAAAGCTCATTTATGTGCAGCGATCGATTCAAAGCAAAAGAACACATTTAATCAATAATAAAAAAATAGTATGAATATCATTTGTCATCATCGTAGATATATTTAATCAATGGCAGGCTCAAACCTGCAGCCTGCATCTGGTGAGTCAGCTGATCAGAGACGTTACTATTCAGGGGTTAATATGTGATATGCTTGACTTCTGCATTTTATATTCTATCCATTTTCTGAAGCTGCTCTTTCTTCTGAAGGGTAACATTCTCCTAGCATTAAATTCATTCCAACTTTGACAGGAGCATACGACTTTAAACTGCCAGTCACCATCCTTACACCTTCCCCTCCTTCGCCGTCTCCGCTCTCTGCTTTAGGCTCACCTATTGCTGCATTTTCTGAAAGTGTGTTGCCATCATATTTTTACAGCTAGCAATTATCACCCACAAGCCCTCCTGACAGCCTCCCC